TGTTTAACTTCTTTAGAACTTTAGATTTTAATATGTTTATGTAATATTATATGGCTAATATCCAATTATAAGTGAGGGTATACTATGTGTGTCATTCTGCTTCTGGGTTACCTCACTCAGAATATTTTCTAGTTCCATCCATTTGCCTGCTAATTTCATTAATTTCTGAGTGCAGGAAACCTTATGGAACACAAGGGAGTTAGAAAAACCTGGAGGGGACAGGAACATCACAAGGAGACCTACAGAGCCAAATATCTAGCCCGGGGTGGGGAGGTGGCTGCAGAGACTCATGATTCAACCAATGATCATTAATGGAGAGGACTTAGACCCTCTGAACAGATGTAGACCATGGGCAGCTCAGGCTCCATGTGGGATTGCCTAGTAATGGTAGCAGGGGCAATCATTGGCATGAACTTGTTTATCTGCTCTTTTATCACCTACTCCTGTTGAAGTGGCCTTACTAGGCCACAGAGAAAGAGGATCCAGACAATCCTGATGAGATTTGATGGGCTTGGATCAGATAGTAGGGAGGACCTCCCCTGTCAGTGCACATAGAGGGGGAAGAGGGAGGGTGGGTAGGACCTGGAGGAGATGAGACAGGGGGTTACAGCCAGGATACAAAGTAAATAAATGGCAATAAAAATAATAATAAAGAAAAAATAACAGTTTCCAAAAAAAAAAAAAAAAAGAAAAGAAAAGAAAGAAAGAAAAATAGAAGAGCTTTGCTGAGGCCCATTATCTCCTTTTGGGAAAGTGTGGCTATTTTATAGATTTTTTTTTTTCATTTAATTTTAGATGCAATTATTTATACTTTAGTTTTTTATATTTTATTTATATTTATATGTATGTGGGAGGGTTCTTACGTGTGCACTATAGGTACATAGCGGCATATGAAGATTAGAAGAGAGCATGACCAGAGTTACAGGCAGCTGTGAGCTTTGATATGGGTTTTAGGAACAGAACCAAGGTTCTATGCAAGACCAAAATGTGCCCTTAATGTTGAACCTTCTTTTCTCCTTTCTTTGTTATTATTATTTTTAATCTAGTAAGTTGCATGATTTATTTTTGTTAAAGGAATATGAGTTGCATACCGTTTCTGGCTCTGGAGAGATAGGAGACATTCTAACTGCCTCAGAGATTACACAATCACATAGATACCCAAATGAGCCTGTCAGTCACCCAGGCAGGCAAATATTGCTCACTATTACAGTGACTTTAAGAGATATGATATACCTGAATACACGCAGAAAGACAGGTAGAAAGCCTTCTCTACTACAAGATATGAACGTGTACTCCCATAGTCCATCTCTGAACTCAGCTGCTTGCAGATCGTTTCTGCTGAGCCTGAGTACTTTTTGCATTGGAAATGAAAAATGAGTAACATTTTGCTTTTCCTGATACTGACCAAAATACTAACCTCTTTTGCTTGAAATCCCAAGCATTCTCGCTCTCTTCTGACACTCCCCCTCCATGCACCTACACGTGGACTGGTTGGGCCTGAGATGCATTCATGACCTCTGTTTTAGAAGTCATACCCAATTATTTTTTTGTTTTCTGACCCATCCCTCTCCTCCTGGATACGGCTGAGATCTCCAGCTCATATGCTCTATTGTTCTTGTGTCTAAAACTCCAAATTTCATATGATTCCCTGCACTCCGTCGAAGGTTGGGTTATGAACCTCAGCATCTGCTTTGATACACTGCTAGGTAGAGTCTTTCAGAGGCCCTCTGAGGTAGGTTCCCGTCCTATTACTTGTTTTCTCCTACTTCCAATGTCCATCGCATTTGTCTTTCTAAGTGTGGATTGATCATCTTACGCCGGGTCCTCTTTCTTGTTTATCTTCTTTAGGTGTACAGATTTTAGTATGTTTTTCCTATCTTATATGTCTAGTACCCACTTATAAGTGAGTATATACCATGTGCATCTTTCTGCTCCTGGGATACCTTACTCAGGATAATCTTTTCTAGAACTCACTATTTGCCTGCAAATTTCATGATTTCCTTGTTTTTAATTGCTGAGTAGTTAGTATGACCTGGAGAGGACAGGAGCTTCACAAATACCAAATATATCAGGGCACAGGGGTCTCCTATGAGACTGTTTCTCTAACCAAGGACCATGTATGCATATAACCTAGATTCCCTGCTTGGATGTAGCCCATGGTAGTTCAATATCTAAGTAGGTTCCCCAATAAGGGAAACAAGGACTATTTCTGACATGAAATCAATGGTTGGCTATTTGACTTCCTCCCCCAACCCCCGAGTGGGGAGCAGCCTTGCTAGGCCACAGAGGAGGTCATTGCAGTCAATCCTGAAGATACCTGATAAGCTATGGTCAGATGGAAGGGGAGGAGGACCTCCCCTATCAGTGGACTTTGAATGGGGCAGGGAGGAGATGAGGGAGGGACGGTGGGATTGGGAGGGGATAAGGAAGGGAGTTATGGCTGGGATACAAAGTAAATAACCTGTGATTAATATAAAAAAATAAAAATTATAAAAATTAAAAAAAAACCCTCCAAATTTCCTGAATTTCCCTTCTAAGTCCACTGGCAAATTTATCTGAGACTATGAACTAGAAAGAGTCCCTAGTCTCAATTAGAATCTGATATCCTTAAATAAAAATGGATTGAATACCTTAAAGCAAGTCTTATATTAATCAATAGACCTTTAAGGAATTCTTTTAAAAATACCCTGTATGGAATTTCAACATAATTCAGGAACCACACATTTAGAATGAAAGCTAATAATTTAAAATAGTATATTTATATAAGTTAAAGTGGTTACATGTTTGGTAATATATGCATTAAATCATTTCACACACACTCCCTAAAACACCACCATGAAGACTGAATAGAATAAAGATTGCTTGTACCCATTCATACATACAAACACCTAGAAGACTGGATTCTAGACACATCATTTTTACTCTCTAAGATATTCAGTCATTAGCCACATATTTGTGGCTAATCTACAAACTGAGCTAATATTCTCAAGTTAAACACCATGAAAATGAACAAGGCTGCCAGTTCCTAGTTTAAACATCATGAAACATGTCCCTGTTCCTCACAGACCTGGGATAACAGCAACAGCAGTTGGGATGAAGCATAATTTAGTATTCACCTGAGCTCTGTCCCCAGATTTATTCTGAACTAACATTTGACAGAAAAAGGAAAGAAAGAAAAAAAATAAACAAAAAAGCAGGAGTGCTACTTCATAGATAAGAAAGTATGTGCATAATCTGGGTACTTGCTGAGTAGTACCTTTATCAAAAACGGCACATTATCATAGTGTTCAAAATGTGAATATGCTAACTCACATGCCAGCAAGATGAGTACATTGGAACACACAGTATGGCAGCACACTTAAGAAACACTGATATAAAAGGAAGGTCTGAATGTAAAAGACAAAAAATTAAAAAGGGTGCAGTGGACTTGGGGAGGGGCATGCGTGAAGAAGGGGAAGGGAGGGTAGGACTGGGAGGGGAGGAAGGAGGTGCTTATGGGGGGGATACAAAGTGAATAAAGTGTAATTAATAAAAGAAAAAAAAGAAGAAAAAAAGAAGGGTGCAGTAATTCCAAGCAAAAGTTCCAGGGTTCTAAGAGCTTGTGGCATTCCATAAACTGAAAGACTGGTTGGCACAGCAGAGTGATGAGGCAGGAGACCCAGGGGTAGGGATGGGGGTGTCTGCTCTCTCATTAAAGGCGAAGAGGTCACCTAGAGGACACAGAGATACTGACGGGTTTTAAGCAGTACAGAGACATGATAACAAAATAAAGAATACAATATTGAAAGTTAGGACAGCTGGTAGGGGAATATTAAATTTTATGAACAACTATACTAATAAGAAAATTTAAAGCTATTAAGAGATTGCTGATTTAAAAGCAAAGGAATTTCATACTTAGATAAAGTAGTGGATGCATTAAAAGTAGAAACTGTTTCTAAGAAAAAGAGTAAGAATTAATTAAAATCGAGAAGAGCTAGCAACCCTATAGAAAAGAATAACTTCAAAGTTATATTTGTAGCACACATATGGTCATTTAATCAGCCTTATGGAAAGGTAGCTGTTAGAAGCAATTACAATTGTTTATTTTGTCACTATTGACAACTTCATGAAAAGAGTGTCCCAAAAGAATAAATACTTGTCAGTCTTAGGGTGAATACAATTAATGTGTTAAAATGAATAGTTTTGAAACATTATTATTAATAATGTAGGTAGATTAACAAGTGCACCAGCTCTGCAGAAATTGTTCTACTTGAGAAACACCAAGAAACAGGAAGTGTTTCTCCTTGGAATCTTCCAACTTACAGCCTGCAGGTAAGAGAGGACATTGAAAATCCTGAGACTTCATATAAAAGTCTCAGAACAGACTGAAATATAATACTCAAAATCATTGTGTGTGTGTGTGTGTGTGTGTGTGTGTGTGTGTGTGTGTGTGGTGTGTGTGTGTGTGTAAAGACAAATCAGTCTCCTGACATGTTTTGGAGTTTTATCAGTTGCTTCCCAGCCAAGAAGCCTGACTGTCCTAAAAGCCAAACATTTAAATGTTTCCTACAGAGAGAATGATACAGGAACACATTAGTTAATTTTCTTGTTTTATTTTTCAACATTCTTCACAGGTAAGGACCTTCTAATATTTTGTTCCTTTCAAAAGTGAGTGTTTTACTCTTCACAATGTCCCTTATCCATGACCTTCACTCTTGAGACACAAGAATCTTGTGTACAAACTCAGAGAAAATCCAAACCTTTGGCTTAACACATTGTTATTTGACAACTACAACTTTAATGTGCTTAATATTAAAATGATGCAATAAAATCAGAATGAAGAAATTCAAATAACTGTTTTAGGATTTAAAAATATTTTAGCATTCAGACTGACAAAAATATTTGATAAAATTCAACATTATATGTTTTTAAATCTGAAAACCCAAACCAAAGTATTCACCATTATTTGTATTAGCTAACAATTCAAGCACAGACTCAGTTTCTATATAGCTCACACTTACCCATGAAGTTGAGATATCCTTCCCCACCAAGCCCATGAGTAATGAGTCGGATCATCTTGTGGAGCTGTATGCCTCGATCGATCACCGGGGTGAAAGGAGACAGAACACTCATGTTCGTGTACATCTCAGCATCCATCAACCAAAATGCTAGTGTCTTGTCGCCAACCAGTGCCTAGGAAAACAACTCACTGAGGTCAGCAAGGAGCATGGATACCAAGCCTAAGCAGTTAGAACTCACAGCAGTGCTGCACAGTGTTTCACAGGAGGGTGAACCCTATAGGACAGGTGTTTGAACCGTTATTAATATTCTAGTGGTTACTTCATTTGCTGAAGGGCAGATGGTAAATGAAGCTTTTTAAGACAAAGTTTTAATTTTAAAAAAAAGATTGGTATGGTCATAATTAGAAACTTAAAATAATTTGTTAAATAAATAAATTTTTGTAGCACAATTTCACCTTTTTTGAAACAATGAAAAAGTTTAAAAATATGCATATGTATGCATGTGAAATGGTAACATATAAATTACAAAAATCCAACAATCCTTTGTTCCCATTATGAAAGAAAAAAATCAAGCTTGCTTTATTTGCTACTTAACTTGAATTAGTTTATTTGCAACTTAATTGGAATTTAGTTTATTTGAAAGATAACAAGTTTATTTGATTAGGACAAGTGAGTCATTAATGCAGTAGGTAGCAGGAAAGAGGGCTTCCAACAACATGCATTACTCAAGGCTCATGACAGTTAACTAATGAAAGCAGTCACTATTAACAGAGCAGTAATAGATAGTGAAATGTAAGGTACTGGGTAAGCCACAAACTCAGTATGTTATTATGAGTTTCATTTTGTAATTATTTAAATTCATAAACCTATTATACCACTAAGCTCTTTTAATTAGAATAACTCATTTGAAGTATGAGTATAAGATCTATAGCACAGATTCCTAAACAATTTGCCTTTTCTACTTATATTCTTATGTATACCTGTTTGCTTTTGTAATTTCTGATTCTGTTAAAAAGTGTTTGATGATTTTAGTTTTTCACAGGAAAAAATTATTTCAAATCAAGGAGCCCTCTAAAATATATAGCACTGGGATAAACTTAGATACTTAATCTTAGTTACCTTATACATACCTATACATACCTTAATAGGCACATTAATCTTTGATTACACAGATAAATATCTAATATATTATACTTACAATAATATATTAATAGATATTCTTAGAGACTTAGTAAAGAATTCATCTACAACCTTTTACCATGTATTATATGTATTTATATATATTCATTTTATAAATATGCATTCAGATGATTTTTTAAGAATCAGAACAGATTTGCTTTTGTAATGAATGAGGCATGTGGTTCAATTTTGACATTGCTGATCATTTGTATTCTTTAAGTATTTCTCTGTCATTCTGTGTTCCTCTGTTGAGAATTCTCAGAAATGCATGGTATATACCTACTTATAAGTGGATAGTAGCTATATGATATAGGATAAAGATACTAACATGTACAGACCTAAAGAAGCTAGACAACAGGAGGACCCAGAAAACATACTTAATTCTCACACAGAAGGGACAACAGGATAGAACCAGAAGCAGCAGAAGAGAGGGACAGGACTGAAGCCTACCACAGATGTCCTCTAAAGGACTCTAACCAGCAGGGGATTGAAGCAGATACAGAGACTCACAGACAAACTTCGGACAGAACACAGGAAGTCTTATGGAAGAAGGGGGATATAGAAGGATGTGGAAAGATCAGGAGTCTGCCAAGGAGAGCAACAAAGCCAAAAAACAAACAAACAAAAAACAAACAAACAACAACAAAAACAGTTGGACCAAAAAACAAACAACAACAAAAACAGATGAATCTACAGACTGATTCATCAACCAAGGACCATGCATAGAAAGGACTTAGATCCCCTGCTCAGATGTAGCCCATAGGCAGCTCAGTCTCCATACGGATTCCCTAGTAAGGGGAGAAGAGATAGTCTTTGATATGAACTCGGTTGCCCACTCCTTGATCACTTCTCCCTGGTGGAGTGGCCTACCTGACCCACAAAGAAAGAGGATCCAAACAGTCCTGATGAGACCTGATAGGTTAGAGTCAGACAGTAGGGCAGGAGGATTTCCCCTATTAGGTGACTAGGGGAGAAGAATAGGGGAGGAAAAGGGAGGGAGGGTGGAACTGGGAGGAGATGAGGGAGGGGGCTACAACTGGGATACAAAGTGAATAAATTATAAAGAATAATAATGATAGTAATAATTTTAAAACTTAGCTATAAAAAAGTGGACCTTTTCGAAACAGTTTTGTAGCATTGAATAGAAAGTTTAGAGCTGGGTAAGGGATGAAACTGGTCCTGCAGGAGTGACTGAGTGGCAAGCTCCAGCCAGTAGAACTGGGTTGACAAGTTGATGCTTGTTTGGAAATAGCTCAGACTGCAACAGAAGGGATAGACCAAAGTGGGACAAGTACGATCTGGGTGATCAATTAGGCAGGAGACTACTATGTTTGAATAAAGGTATAAAAGAAGAGAAACTGTATGTAGAAATCTATCACAGTACTGTCAACATACTAGATTAAAACATCTCTTATCATTCTTCTTATGACACAGGAAACACACTAATACTTGCAGTGTCAATGGGAAGAGCGTTACTACAACTCAGAAGTATGACTTTTAGACCTGCAAAGTAACTTTAAAATGTTTTTCAAATGTGGCTTTATATATGTATAAGCATACACAAATGTTACAATACCTCTACTTGACGATTACTGTTTGTACTTACAGATACAGCAGAATATAAAGAATAAGAGGAAGATAAATATTGACAGAGAAGAAAATGACTTTATACATATTTGTTTACCTGATCATGGCTCTCTGCGTAAGCAACACATTTTTCAAGGTGCCGTCGATTTGTGAGGGTGTATACGATGTTGCCCATATTCCAGTCTTCATCTTTAAATTCTTTAAGTAACTACACAAGAGAGAAAATCAACTTCTAAGTAGCACATATTTTTCTTTCTTTAAATGTCAAGCTGAAGGCATACATATTACTCTAGGCAATTTGACATGCAGATATAGTGAGTGATATCATTGTATTTTCTCTTAAAGTAAATGTTACCTTCAGATAACATAAACATTCAAGAACATAAAAGCAAATGGTAATTGCGCCAGGCAGTTATCTAATAATATGGTATTTATAAGGCTATAGTCCTAGGATTCACTCGTGTTTCTGCTGTTGATATTTCATATATACCATTCCAAAAGGTTTAATTGAGCACATGTAAATAGAAGGCTATACCATACATGTTTTTTACATATGTTTTAAATCATACTTTGAGATCTCTGCCACTTTTTATTACCTGTAATAACCAGAACATCAGGATTGGCAGTCAATTTTGGTTCACTTCACACCAAGTCCTCCTGTAAATTTCACACACTAGAGATACACTTTCTACAGTTTTAGACTTGAATAATAATGTTCTTACAGAAAGGGTATTGTGTTCCAATCATAAACAATAATAATTAAAACAATTATTTCACAATGGAAATGCTAATTATCATAAAATAATTATTATCTTAATAGACCACACAGATTTTCTTTCCACTTCATTTTCTTTATTATAGCACCTGCCCTTTAACCCTGCTGTGATGCCACTGACCTACTGAAGACCTCAGATGGTCATCTCTTGGGTCAGTAATTGCCCTTTCTTAGATAAATACTTTCTGTACATGACATGGTTGACCCCTTTTCTTCACATGAATTGTTCCCTGCTGAAGTGTACTACTGTGTACTTGATGTTTTATCTCTTCCAAGCCCTTATGGAAACCATGCAAATTCTTTTTCCCTGCCTAGCCTATTCAAGGGAAGTCTACTTGAGTTTACCTTTTCAACACAGTCTTTCTATCACTCAATATACTTTTTTTTCTGCTCAGGCTAATTCTCTTTTCAAAGCACCAAGGAAACATGCTTCTAGGCAAAATTACAAGATGGCCCCAGGGTCCCTCTTCTCTTATTTATGTATTTTGTATGTCCTTATCTTGAGTGTTTTGTGATCTCAAAACAGGGTATTGTGATGAATGCAGTCTGGGATACTGAGTAATGCAGCAAGTTTCCAAAACTGTGGCCAATTACCATATGAAAAGAAAACTACTGGAAATTTTGGTACCAGATAAACACAGCTAAATCTCCAAAGAATTTTGCTAAGAGAAAATGCTAATCCAGGAAATTACAAGCTACATAGTTCTATTCATACAACATTCTATAAAACACAAAATTGTACAAGTGGAGTCCACAATAGCCATTGCTAGGGATTAAGTAATGATTGGGAGTCAGAATGAAATGGATGTCTACAAAGACAGCAAGGGATTTTTTACACCTTACCTAAATCAATGTTGGTATATTCATTATGGGAGCAGCCTTATCAGGCCACAGTAGAGGACAATGCAGCCACTTTTGATGAGAACTGATAGACTCAGATCAGAAAGAAGAGGAGAACCTCCCCTATCAGTGGACTCGGGGAGGGGCATGCACGCAGAAAGGGAAGGGAGGGTGGGATCGGGAGGGGAGGTGGGAGGGGCTTATGGGGGATACAAAATGAATAAAGTGTAATTAATAAAAAATTTAAAAAAAATTTAAAACTTGTAACATTGAAGAACATATTTGTTACAAGTTGTACATGAATATATAATTTTATCAACACAAAAATGGATAAATAAAATCTCTGTGTCACAAAAAACCACGATGAATGCTTGAAATGTTTCTGATAGGAGGAGCAGAGAATGAGTTCCAGTAAATGTGAACATCACCTTTAAGTGACAGTTTCAGTTATTTAAATCTGATCAGGCAAAATAAAACCAGATATAATGAATCTTCCAAATATTTGTTGACATTTCTTAAGGAAATGGTTAAAATATAATGCTATTCTAATTACCTGAATATTAATGAACACAACTGAAATACTAACACATAACTATGCAAGAAAATCATGATTGCAGTCTAGCATTCTTGTCTCATTCATATCTTTTAAGGAGATGATGGTGAGAGCCATATATAATCTGACTAGACTTGTCATTTGGTTTAATATATTCTTCTGTTTCATTGCTTTTTGGGGACAATGACTGTCACCTATTCATTTAAAAGATGTAAACTATTCTATTTATTTTGTGTGTTTGGTGTCTTGTCTGCAACTTATGCCTGTGTATTACATGAATGCACTGTCTGCAGAAGCCAGAAGAGGGTGATGGGTCCCTAAGACTAGAATCCATGAGTCACCAAGTGGGTAAAGGGAATTGTACCAAGGTCCTCTGGAAGAGCAGCCACAGCAGCTGTGTTTTATCTGCTAATTATGTTCTTAATGATGTAGCTCATAAAAACAAAGGAAAGCCACTGTATCCAAAGATTTTAAATATTTTAACTCTGTAGATTTATGAACTAAAACCACAAATTTGGTGATGCAGAAACATTTTTAATTAGCTGCATAAAATAGAAAACTGTATATGCCTTCAAAAGATTTCTGAATTCAAGATGATCGCATCTTGGGCATTAAATGATAATCTTCCCATTTGTATGACACACTGCCTACTGTTGTACAGACGGTACTAAAAGGTTTAATGGCATAATTTTAAAGATTTAGAAGGGGAAAACCACCATCAACATTCTAAGAAGATTACATCCCACGGTGAACTATGATTGACTGGAAAATCATTCTAGGTTGATCTATACTTTTGCTATGTTCTTGAACCTACATAAAGGATAAAGAAGAATTTTAGTAACAGGTTACAAAGAAACAAATTCTATATGAAAGACTAGAAATCATGAAGACTTGGGGCTGATAACATTATGCCAAAGAAAAAAACGTGAAATGACAAACATGGTTTGTATAAAAACCTTAACACATTTTTCTCTGCATTAAACTAGAAAAACCACACAGCCTAACAAACTTTGTAAAATACTTGTGTGTAGAATGACTAATGTTTAAATAATCATTATCAAAAGAAAAGCAGAAGTCAAGTTGGTAAAACCTCCGTATCAGAACTGAGCTTTGTAGAACGTGCCTCCAAGAACAGAAAGGACAACAAATGATGATGACAATAATACTGTTCGTAGATCCTTTGAGATCTTCAACACTGCTAAACACCTCTATTACTGTGGCTTCTTGGAAGTAGTTCATGTGTACTTAAAAGCTTATCAGGAAGTTACGATTACTCACATAGATGTCTTTCTCCTTGTATTCATTCAGCCCAAGATTGCAGTCATTTATTCTCAAAGTGTGTTTAAAACAAAGGTTTACATAATATCTTTGGTCTTTTACAAAAACTCATATAAATACACATAGACTCACAAAATATGCACAGATCGAGAGAGACAAACAGTTAAAGAGATAGAGATAGTGAGAGACAGAGACAAGACAGTCACAAAATAAAAAAAAATAGAGGGAACCTAAATTATTTGAATTATTAAAATTAATAACAATGTATTGAAAGGAAATATGTAGCTACTATCTATAATTATCTCATCCAACTGTTAGAGACTTGGTAAGGATCACTGAATAAAGGTATGGGTGACCTGGATATGTTGAGTTAGAGGTCACACTCTGAAGTAAGTATAAGATACTAAGGAATTTCTACCTCACTAGATAATTATGGATAGGAATAACTGCTGTGACAACATTCAGCGTGTTTTCAGGACAGATGACTGCGGTTTCCCAGGTCTGCATCTACAGCTCCAGATTCCATTCAACATTTTACTAGCATTAATTTCTCTTGCCTGAATAATAGAAATGTGAAAACTTTGGAATATTCCTTTAAAATTTTGAGAAACACCTTAGAAAATAGCACAAGAATGATACATTTGCAGGAGAGCTAATATTTCACCAATATTTGCAACTAATGATGATTATTAATAAATAAGTTAAGCAAGTTCATATATGACACTGAAACATGAAATCTTACTTGGATCCATTTATCTGGAATTGCCATTGCTAATCTGTAATCAAAACCACCTCCTCCCTGGGAAGTTGGAGAACAGAGAGCAGGCATCCCAGATACATCCTAAAACAAAGTACATTAGAATGATCAGTTCATATTATTCAAGCAGGTTCCCTGAAAGCAAAACCTAGGCCAACAAATTGAAGTTTAAAAACAGAGGCATATATTTCTGAGTATTTTAACAAACATAACTGTAAAAGCAGATGCAATTGTGAATTCATATATTAGTTCTCAACAAACTTTTGTCTTTGTTTTCACTCTAGCACACCATTCAATCTGTTTCCCCCCTTTTCATTAGTATTACTATGAGAACAGAAAGCACTTAAAGTCTTTTCAAAAATAGTTTAATCTTAGAGGCTTTTTTCAAAAGATTTGACTCACCAAATTGAACAAAAATAAAAATTCACATGGCATATATCTGCTATACTTCTTTATACATATATAGCCCATTGCGCACTAGCTCCTGATGAAGTGGAGAACATAGAATAAAGCAGTAAGGTAGATTCACTTTACTATTATACTGCAAAGGGTCACTGAGATCAGCTACTGGATGTTTTCATTAGCAGATACGAAACAAGGGCACACAGAGGTGAAAGAATCTGGAGAGATAGAAGCTTATTAATGGTGGAGTCATGGTTCAGGCATCAAGCCTGTGGACAGAGTGTTTTCTCTTGTCATGATACCCTTAGACTACTGATAAGTAAGTATTAATCAAAGAGACAACTGAGCTGAAAAACTAGGCATAGGGATACAGATGTAGAAGAAGATATTTCTTGTAATAACAACAGCAAAATACAAGCTAAATACTATCATTCTAACACTACACTAGATTTCAAACTAATCCCTTTCATCTGTTCAATTTCTGTGGCCAGTCTTATTTACTCTTAATCACCTCTTCCTTAGACTGTATGTTTTCAAATGGAGCTGCTCCATCTCCAATTCCTCTGTACAGTTAAAATCAACATCTTATGAGATGCTTTGATTGTATTTTTGTCCTGTGATTAAGGTCAATATCTAATAGTAGAAATATGAAATTCTTTATCCAAAGATGCAATTATTTAAACAAACATTAAGCATTTGCTATTCATCTACCTATCCAGTGTTCTATTTCCATACTACTTGTTTGTAAAATACTTAATGGAAGAATCTACTTTTGTTAGTTAATGTGACCCAAGAATCTCGCTTGCCAGACAGCACTTGGCACAAAAAGCTACTCAATAAATATTTCCTGACTGAAGGACATAAAGGTGCTGGAAGGTACAAGATAAAAGAGGTATCATCACCTGACTTATCTACACGCATAAACAAGGTCACAAATATGCTTACCAACATTGAAATGACAATACTTAGCAGCCTGACATAGGAAGTGGAGGGAGGAACTTACACCTTTCCACCACTGCCCCCTAAATCTTTTGAGCTGTATATATCATGACTCTTATGAAATGCAATGATCTAGGCTTGTAAAAAGCTTTTTAACATTTGTCATTGTTGAAATCCTTATAAAAGAACATCATACTCTGAGATCTGAAATAGCTAAAATGTTGCTGTTCTGATAATCTCATCTGCAAATTCTCCCCCACAGAAAACCCTGGAGAAGGAACTACTCGACTTCTCTGGGCTCAAACCTAACCTATCTCCTTCTCATGAGAGACCAATATAGCTGAATACATGATATGTTGGTATACAAACACTGGAAACTAAAATGCTTGATCATAATACTGTATTTCTTCATAAATTTTTAAAGCTCACAATAGAAACAGATTGAATAAAGATCAACAGGGAAAACACTTTAAAACTCATTTTCTGCAAAACAGAAGTAATACATTAACAGATATTGTAGGTATTCAGTTCAACTGGCTGTTAAAAAATGGACTGAAAATCTATTCAACATCAGACTCCTTATTAGATACTGGGGTTACAGAGAAAATACTTTGCAAAGAGTTTTATTGTGAACAAATGATCTGGAGTGATTGCTAACAGCTGGGATTTAATTCAAGGTAACATTGCTTGAGAAACAGTTATATAGTTTTATTATATGTATCTTTTAAAAAATAAAATATAGCCAAGTGCGGTGGTGCACACCTGTAATCCCTGAATTTGGTAAGGCAGAGGCAGGTGAGTCTCTATCAATTTGAGGCTAGCTTGGTCTGCAAAGCAAGTCCAGGACAGCCAAGGCTCCACAGAGGAACACTGTCTCAAAAAAGTAGATAGATAGATAGATAGATAGATAGATAGATAGATAGATAGATACATAGATAGATAGATAGATAGATAGATAGATAGATAGATAGATAGATACATAGATAGATAGATACATAGATAGATAGATACATATATAGATAGATAGATAGATGGATGATGATATATAGAGATAGATAAAAATAAAGTATAAGAAAAACATGGATATCAAATTCTTAAGTCACAATTCTTAAGTCAGAGTTCTATGAAGCTATCTCATTAACTAATGAGTTATTCCAAGATTTCTTTTCATAGTGAGATGATAGTAGTTACTCTTTTAAATACAAAAGAGAAAAAAGATAAATATAAAGGTAATATATTCCAACTATAAAAGATGTCCACTGATATGGAATATAAGAATGATTATGTGTCTTAAATTAAAATGAATCTAATTCCTTAGAAATCTAAAAAGTACTTCTGACTAATGACCAGGAAGACAACTCATATAAAAATTTTAATTAATAAAATAACTGTGCAATGGTGGACATTTTCTATAAAAATTTTAACTGTCATTAGTAATGTACTCATATTTCTTTTATATACATTTATATAAGATTTCATCACTTATTCATTGAACATAATTTCTTTAAAAAAAACCATGAACATCAATTGTACATTTTGAAGAGACTCCCACAAGACAGAAAAGTCTTGTATTGAAATTGAAGCAGTTTTCAATTTGGGTAGAATAAATTGAAAGCACATCTTGTTTAAAAAAAATCTAAAACCAAGTAATATAAAGTAGGCTAAAGTCTGAAAGTTCCATTGGTAGAAACACTGATAATCAGACAGGAGCTCCCTAGATGATGAAACTATTTTACTTGAAATGAGTGAAAAGATCAATGTAACAATTTTCACTTTCATGTATTAAATAATTGCTTCTTTTTCTTCACCATCACTTTTGATTTGTAGTGTCATTAATTGTTTGTAGTAATTTGTCACATATATTATCTCTGCTTTGGATTGTCACCAATATAATTGATATAATAAATTTTTGATGTTTGACAGATAAATTAAAATACTGTTTTTAAGAAGTAAAATGAAATTTGAAATACCCTGCTGTTAAAAGGAATTCAGAACAAAGTATAACTATTAGCTCTGAGAAGAAGTAGTGAAGCAATACCATGAATTATTACTGGTTGTACTGTAGTTTTGGACTTTTGTATTAATTCTATATTATTTCAGAAATACCTTTTGAAAATATTCTATTTAAAAGGCAAAGGGTTGGACAGAAATAAAACTGTTTTCTATCTACAGTCTAACAAAAGAGTTACATGAACTCTCCGGAGATTACTGGATCTGAGAAATGATAGACAGTACAATGGCTATTAAAATAATAAATGCTATAAGAGAGGGAAACTGACTCCAAGAACTAGGATGCCAACAGGATAAATGTCTACGTTAATTCTGATTCTTCTCAAACATGGAATTATTATTTTATATTGCCCACAAGTATACTTTAGATAAAAATTATTAAAATCATAAAATAAATTTTAATAATAATTGCTATGTAGAGAACTCAGAAAACCAGGGGGATTTTAGTATTAAATCTAAATTAGTAAAAGCATTTAACAAACTTCTTAATTTATCACATTTATCACAAAGAAGGGAATTGCCAATTTTGCATATACCAAATTATATCATTACAGCACAGCTTTGGGACAGTTAATCATCAACTTGTAGTAATCATGAATAACCAGTGAACACTTGGCAGCCTGAGAGCAATAGCATAAACAAGAAAGGTAATCGCATCAAAACACGAAACGCTCAGGAAAGCGTACAGGCAGTGATCCATGCCATCTCTAATGATTAAACCAGGAAATAAATAAATAAGTAAATTGACAGATGCACATTAATATTCAATTCTTTTCACCACTGAAGGTCTTGGGGCAGAAGGACCTGTCCACTGATTAGGACATTTTCCTTCCTAACCACTGGCATGTTCTTTCTAACAATGGAATAGTGACAAGCAATTAGTGTAAATTATCCCCTATTAGGAAAACAGTAAATTCCAAATAATGTGTCATCCTTACAACATAGCTGGACCCATCATCAGGGCAGAATGCCAGTTTTGCAATTATTGATGACATGAGTTTAGTTATTCAAATAGTGTATGCTAACAAAGTATTCTGTATTAAAGGGTACAGATGGCATGACATCATTATAGACTTACCTCTGCTATTGTTATAGAGTCTGGGTACAATGTGTGAGCCAAATGATTTGCCAACATGAGATAAACCAAAGCATCTTCATCTACTTGTAGTCCAAAATATTCATTATAGTCACCTGAAAAACCTTGACCTGATGAACAGAAAAAAAAATGGAATAGGTTATATAAATATGTAAATCTTAATCTATGAAAACATATCTCAAATTGTGAGGGATGTGCTACTGTAAGGAAGCACAATAAAGTTTCCACCTAAAAATGTACTAATTCATTATTCTGTCAATACTCAGATCAGAAAACCCCGCTAACCAATTTCAGTTTGAAAAAAAAAACAAAAAAAAGTGCTTTAAAGATGCAATTTAATTCTAAGTAAATTTCATAGCAGTGAAATAAGTAATGCAATACTGAAACTGCATGCTAAACGGCAAATTTCCAATACATTTCTACCATGTGAGAAAAAATAATAATAACGGGCCCTAAACAATCAGGCATTGATAGAGCAAGGACTCAGGGGCCCTACCACTCACAAATGAACTATTTCCTATGGGCTGAATCAGGGAGGAGTCATTGCCTGTAAGTGTGTACCCATTCCAAGAGGCTCAAATGGGCAGTCTCAATCCTCTGCTCACACAGATGGCTCTGGTTAAATAAAGGGCTTACAAACAAAACCAGGGCACGAAATCTGAGCTTTTGCTTCGAAGTTTTAGGTTTTGTTTTCAACATTCTAAGGGGGAAAACATACAATTTTTCCCCAGTATTCTTTTTCTTAGGATTTCTGGGGAGCCTGGCACATGACAGCTGTAAATTGTTTCCTAGGAGCTGGCAGGTCATGACTGAGAGGAGGTGGCAGTGAGCTTCAGCGACCCTCCTTGGAACACACTTGTCAGATTTATTGTCTACACGTTTCTCTTCAACTTTATCTTCTTGTTGGTAATATGTATCCACTATTTTTTTTTACTATTTTTATTTTATTAAAAGAGTTTTCTTTTCTTACACTATATTCTGGTTACCATAACCACTCCCCCAACTCCACTGAGTTCCTCTCCCCTTTCCCTTCTCTCCCCTCCCATCCAGGTCCATGTTCTTTTGTCTCATCTTGGAAAACAGGAATCTAATGAATCATAAGATAAAACAAAATGAAATAAAGTAGAATAGGACAAAGCAAACAAACGAACAAAAAAAAGAGCCAAAGAATAAGTACAAGATAGTTATATAGACACACACACACACATTCTCACATACAGAAATTCTAAAACAAACCAAAAAACCAAAACCAAACAAACACAAAAACAAAGACAAAAACACAAAATCATAAGCCATCATATATGTACAAAGGACCTGTAGGGTCCCTGAAAAATTAGTTTTTTCCAGTGGATTCTCACTGGGGATATAAATCACTTATAAGGCTGTCCCCATGGCCATGAGTAATGACCAAATATATTAAAAGAAAAAAAAAAAAAGGCCGGGTACGAGTCCACAAAGCTGGAATTCTACCACCACTCTGGAGGAAAGCTGAGGGAAGGATCTGCAGTGTGAGATCAGTTTAGTCTAACCAACAGACACACTCCACACACACACACACACACACACACACATATCTAACAATTGTCTCTTGGTCAATTATTTAGGAAATTAAGATTCTGAGCCTAATTTTGTGCAACTTTCAAAATGACAGCCTGATCAATACTTCAATCTAATTTAAATCTAGTGAATGATACACATATTTTCTCAATGTACAATGCACAAAATGTTCTCACTTATCATTTTATATCTATATATGCAAAAATGCTGAAAATATGTTTTAATATATTCTGAACACACTGCGGTAAATAGTTTTTTAAAATTTATTTTTATAAGCCATGTATTATGGATATTTTATTTCTAAGAAGACATAAAGAAATGGAAATCTGCACTTTTGCTTTCCCTCTTATTAAATAATATCAGAAATGACTACACAAAAGAAACAATGGGCAACTAAAGTCAAGCTGTCAGCAACAGCCGCAGTAGTCTCTATAGGAGAACCCCAAACCAGGCCACAACTTAGCAATGAAAAATAACATTTGCATCAGCCACCTACCCATCCCATGGTGATGATACAGCATAGAGGTGACACCATCAAAACGGAACCCGTCAAAGCAGTATTCCTCCAACCACCATCTTATGTTCGACAGAAGGAATCTTAAAACTTCCCAGCTAAAAGATTAGACAAAAACATCTTTGAGTATAATGCAAATAGCGCTTTCTTAGTTGTTCAGAGCATAGATTGGAATTACTTATCTATCTCAAGAGGCACGATAGTCAACAAACATATAATGCAAATACTAGAAAATGTCGTTTGAATAACAAGACTTGTTGTAAAGTGAAAACACATTACATTCTCTTAGGCCAAAAAAATCATTCAAAATTTGAGCAAGAATAGGAGGAAAAAGTAAGAATTACAAGGCATATCCCTGTCTAGTGTTTTTCACTGTTGTGCTCTTGGCAAGGATAATGGCTCCTATAGATTATTATGGACTACATCATAGTAATGTGAGGGGGTATTTTCTCTGTTTAGAATTTGTTTTTAGTATAGACTTGAGAAATGGCTTCAATGACTATCTTTTTAAAATACTTGGCTGAAACTCCAAGAAGCTAAAATTCTAAAGAAGAAGTAAATTAAAAAAAAATCTTTAAAATAATAATAACAGTACATTTACTAGACCATTCTTTTATAGAAGTAAAAATGAAAACCTAATTACAAAACACCCACAATTTTAATAAAGTATAGCATAAGAAGCCACACATCCATCAGAACAGAAGAGAAAAGAACTGTATTACTCAATTAGAAACACTACATGAAGCAAGCCTATTTCAGACAACTGAAGAGAGGGCAACGTCAATTACTATTTTCTTCAGATGTGCAGCCATGGTTGAGTTCTCTATCTTATTACAGCTATAGTTTTAAGATTTTAATACCGCATTTAGCTTAATGACAAAGCTGCAATAATGTATACAAGTCTTTAACACAGCTCAAATTTATGTATTTTTAAACCTTCTTCATATTAAAGAACAATGTGGCATAAGCAGAGATTAAGTTATCCCAATCAATTCCAAAAGTAGAAATCTAACCCCTGAGGAAAGTGAAAACTGTTGCTAGTACGTATTTGAATATGTTACCTTACACTTTAAAAACTTAAGGAATGCTTGAAAATTATATGGAAAAAAAAAAAACAGTCACATAAGCAATGCAATAACATGAAAGAAAACCAAAAGTTCAAGATGTGTAGGTTAAATAGTTATACATTTCAATTATATCTTATTAACACATGTTCATTTATTTTGTGACTATGTATCCATGTGTGGGCTCAGTGTGTAAATCCATGGGAGATCAGATATGGACATCAAGAAGTATAGTACTCAGTTGATTTTCCACCTTAAAATTCTAGATCTTTTTGTAGTTTGATTTAGAATGCCTCCATAGGCCATCCAGGGCTTGGTCCTGAGTTCCTGAAACTGTTTGGGAAAGACTAGGAGGTAAGGTCCTATTAGAAGAGCTGTTTTAAGGGACTGTCTTTGACATGAACTCAGTGGCTGGCTCTTTGATCACCTCCCCCTGAGGGGGGAGCAGCCTTACCAGGCCAGAGAGGAAGACAATGCAGCCAGTCCTGATGAGACCAGATAGACTATGATCAGAAGGAAGGAAAGGAAGACCTCCCCTATCAGTGGACTTGGGGGAGGGGGCATTCATGGAGAAGGGGAGGGTGGAACTGGGAGGGGAGGAGGGAGGAGTTTACAGGTGGATACAAAGTGAATAAAATGTAATTAATAAAAATTAAGATAAATAAATATATACATACATATATATATATATATATATATATATATATATATATATATATATATATATATATATATATATATATATATATATATAAAGGCTGTGAGAAGCCAATGACAGAAACTACACAGCTCTAGAAGAGTTGTAGGGCGGGGCCAAAGCTTACAGGCTAATGGTCTCAGCACTGGAGGCCAAGTTCTGTAACAGTGCAGTGGAACTGTGATGTTGGCAAATGCAGGGAGAACAGCAGGTAAAAATAAATAAATAAACAAAATAAAGAAGAACTGTTTTAGTAAGCTTTAGTTTTTGATTTATAGCAAAACTAAAATGTAGCTGTGTAGAGATTTTTTATATGTCCTTTTAACTCACACATATGTTTATAGTTGTTTTAAAAGAAGGTACAGCTAGAATACAGTGAATAAACTGTAATTAATATATAAAAAATAAAAAAAATATTAAAAGTCAAAAAAAGAAGGCTCAATTCTATATTAAAATCTCGAATAGGTTAGCATTCTGCATGTCAGTAATAGTTTGAATAGTGGTTTCCCAAAAGCACACATCCTTTTTAAATAGTGCTATTAGTTTTGCATACTTTCGTCTTTTAAAAAGATGTATTGTAATTTTGTATGTGTGTGTGCGCAATTGAGTGTGTGAGTGTATGTGTATGTGTACCTGCCCATGTTCTTGTCCCCTATACAGAGCTAGTAAATAACTTTAGATTTCCTGAAGCTTGAGTGTTTCTAGGCTATCAGGCTTGCTATGTTTGATCCACACGGGGATCTCATGATTGCAGAATAAGCATTATTAAAAACTGAGACCTGTCTACAAACTACATTTTCTATCTCAAAAATAAACCACACATATTTTTTTTAGTTAAAGACACCTCAGGGTAGAAAGAATATTTATTTAAATGATAAATATCCTGACAGACTTATGAAGATATAAAACCATAAACAAGACAACACAAACTGTCCTTAGGCTTTATCTGACATTCACTATCTTTATGTGGTGTGGAGTAAAAAGTTGTGTGTGTGTGTGTGTGTGTGTGTGTGTGTGTGTGTGTTTTGTGTTTAATGTTTGCAGATACAGTAAGTGTCTTCAAGGTCTTCTTAGTTCTTCTCACTCCACATTCCTTATGCCAAACATTTCTATTTATTTACATGACTGGCATATACTAAATGGCTTATATTAACTTCACAAAACAAATATCATGAACTGAATAATTCCTGGATAAAATGGATTCATAAAAAAAAACTGCATTCTATGTCTGTGACAATAAAAGAAAATGATATTTTATTTCAGAGACAAACAGAAGAGGGAAGTGATGTGAATTCAATCAATGGAAAGAAACCATTTCTCTTTGTCCTTTTTTTAAAGATCTTTTTTAAAAAAAATTATTAATTACATGTTATTCACTTTGTATCCTCCCTGTAGCTCCCTCATCCCCTCCCAATCCCTTCCTTCTTCCCCCTTCTACACCCATGGCCCTCTCCAAGTCCACTGATAAGGGAGGTCTTCTTTTCCTTCCTTCTGATTTCCTGGTTTTAACTAATGGCAGAAGTCATAAAAAGCCCCACTGATTCCTATTGTTAGAATCACTCACCTACTCTCCTCTTGATCAAAAAGAACAATAAAAGTTTTTAACATATAAAAAGAAATAGCTACATCTGAGAGTGACAATGTGCATAGACACATTTTTTTCTTTTGAAAAAAGGAAAACACTGTCTTGTGATATTCCAAAAGTAAGCAAATGACAACTGAGGATAAAATTAGAAACTTCCAAAAGACAAATTTTATTGTCTATTTTTCTAAAGTACTATTAACCTGAAGCAATGACACACACACACACACACACACACACACACACAAAACAAACTAATAATAATGATTGTAATAAAAATGCTAGGTGATATAGTCAAATGAATCCTCTAACTGAAAAGAATAAATCAAGTTTCTTAGCTTCAAAGTAATGTCACTATATGTTCAGAATCACTGATAAAATAAAATTGTGTGTCTCCAAAAGGTGCCAGGAAAGAATAAAGATGCACAACATGAACTAACAGAGCAAACTGACAGTGAAAGTTTACCTTTCTGACAGACACAGAGAAAAAGCTCAGGAGAAAAATCTCAGACAGAAAGAAATTTAAATTTAGGAAGAGCAAGCAGAAAGCAAAAGTTAAAACACTAACTCTGTGGAAGGAACTAGGTAGCTAGCTCAGTTGGCAAAGAACTTGTGCAACCAGAAGGAACTGGGTTCAACGCCAGAACCCACGTAAAACAGATGAGCACTGTGACACATGACTGTAATCCTAGAGGATGGGAAGCAAACATGGAGGAACCCAGATTCTCTCTAAATCAAGATCCACAGGCCCGTGAGACACCCTGCCTCAAAAACAAAGACAGAGTCATCTGAGGAGGAAAACCTGAGGTTTTCTTCTAGATTCCAAATACATGCACATATCTATGCAACATCATCACACTAGTGAACACACACAAACATATACACACAAGAGAGAAAAACAGATGAGCAAGATGGAGAGGCAGAGACAAAGTACTGTTAAATTTCTGTTAAACATCTTCAAGTAGATTATTATTATATTAATGATGGATTATTAATACTAGGTTCTTAATTATTAATACTAGACTATTAGGAACAGTTCAGCAAAAATAATTAGCTTTATGTGACTAACACTTTGTGACCATTGGTGGCCATTGGTGCATAAGAAAAAAAGGAGCAACCACAATCAGATATATAAGAAAAGCAAACTTATAAAGAATGTCCCATTATGTGTTCCAGAGCTGTGTGTATCACCTTACCATGACACATCTAGACAATGAAGTTGACTATAAACTCAGTGGCCTGGTGAAACTAATTTGAAACATATTGATTATACTTGGGTCAGTAAACAGGGAATTAGAGAACTTCACAGATAGATAATCACAGAGAATAATGAGTCTACAGAGCAAGTACACAAACCACATGTATTTGTATGTGCAGAATGCAGAACTCAATCTTGAAAATCAGCCATATCATGGAATGTTACCATGGTATGGAGATGAAGATGTAGCTTTCTTTCTGTTTAGTTTTAATATGTAAGCATTCAGTTTGACACAGACAACACATTTGCTTCTTACATGAATATATTTATTTCAGTTCACTGAGCCCAACTTAAAAAAGAACTGATTCAGGGATTCTCAAGACCACCTGCAAAATTCGGAGATTCACTAAGGAGCTTCAATAAAAGATTTGGTATGTAGGTAATCTTAATGGATAGCCAAGATTTTTATACCATAAAGATAAAACAGAGTCAGCAAGGAGAAAGGTTTGCATGGCATTATACAAGTCATCAATTGCAAACCTATGCAAGTTGTGGCA